GGTGTGCGAGAGCGAGGGTGTGCGAGAGCGAGGGTGTGCGAGAGCGAAGGTGTGCGAGAGCGAAGGTGTGCGAGAGAGAGACTGTGTGCATGAGAGAGACTGTGCGCGTGAGAGAGAGAGTGTGTGTGTGTGTGAGAGAGAGAGAGTGTGTGTGTGAGAGAGAGAGAGAGTGTGTGAAAAAGACTGTGTGCGTGAGAGAGAGAGTGTGTGAGAGAGAGCGTGTGTGTGAGAGAGAGCGTGTGTGTGAGAGAGAGCGTGTGTGTGAGAGAGCGCGTGTGTGTGAGACAGTGTGTTTGTGTGTGGGAGAGAGTCTGTGTGCGTGTGTGAGAGAATGTGTGTGTGTGACAGTATATAGTATGGTAGGGTCACCTGTTGTGCAACATGAGCCCAAGATCCCAGTTGAGGCCGTCCTCATGGATATGGAACTTGGCTATCAGTCTCTGCTGAGCAATTTTGCTGTCTTTCTCGCGCACAACCTGTTGTTGTCTGTTTATGACCTTTTCTATTCCAGTCCAACACCAGCATCTCCACATCATAGCAGAGCACTTGGATAAGTTCAAGGTAATCAGGCAGAGCCAACATACTTTTGTGAAAAGGAAATCATGTTTAACCAACCTATTGAAGTTAGTTGTAGTAAATAACATGCAGGAGCCTCAATGTTTTATAATTTACAATGGATGAAGGGATGGCACATTCAGTTGCTAAATTTTCTGATGGGACATAGATAGGAAAGATTGTAACCTGTGACGAAGACATAGGAGGCTACATTAAGATACTGATAAGTTAGGTGAGTGGCAAAGATGTGGGAAATGGAGTATAATGTGGGAAATTATGAAACTGCTCATTTTGACAGGAAGGGAAAAAAAAGCCTAATATCTAAATGATGTGGGATTGCAGAGCTGCGAGATGCAGAGGAATCTCGGTGTCTTCGGTCATGAATCAAAATGTTAGCATGCACGTACAGGAAGTCATTAAGAAAACCAACAGAATGCTATTGGACCAGATAAAAAATAGCAGGCTATGCTTCAGTCATACAGGGCACTGGTGGCATCATATCAGTATAGGTCTCCTTATTTAAGGGAGGGTGAAAATGTAAATACATTGGAAGCAGTTCTGTGGTTTCCTTGACTAACCCCTAGAATGAGCAGGTTGCCTTATGAGGAAAGGTTGACAGACTGGGCTTGTATCCACTGGAGTTTAGAAGAGTAAGAGGCAACTTGATTGAAACATAAAACACTGAAAGACCTTGACAGGGTGGATGTGGAGAAGTGAATTCTGAAGGACTCTGTTTCTCTGTCTACAGATGCTGCCAGACCTGCTGAGTTTCTCCAACATTGTCAGTGATTTTCAGATTTCCAGTATTCCTGACTTTTGCCTTCATATGGATACTTTCTCTCATGGGAGAATATTGACGTAGAGTTCACTATTTAAAAATCCGAGGTCACATTTAAAGAGAGATAAGGAGACGTTTTTCTCACTGAGGGTTCTGAACACTCTTCCTCCAAAGGTATTGAAAACTGCTGGAATACTTTTGCACGAAGAGGTAAGTCAATTCTTGATAAGCAATGAGGTGAAAAATTATTGGGGGGTGGTATGTATGAGGTGTGATCAAATCAGTCATGACCCTATTGAATGACTGAACAAGCCTGAGGACAGAGTGCGTGACTCCTGTTCCGAAATTTGTTTGTTCAGATTTGAGCGAGGGCTGTGCCCAGAACAACTGATCGATTACTCAACTCCCTATGTTAGACATGCTCTGATCAATTACTTAACCCTCTGCGCTCACCAGATTCTCTATTGAGCACTGGAATTCTGAGATCTTCTTCAGGGTCTCGTTATCCCTCTTAACTTCGTTGATGTACATTGCCAGATCCTGAAACAGAACCACACACACCATCACTTCGGACACAACCCACCACCACCCCATACACACACATTCAATCACCACACAGCCCCCTAGACACCC